ATATAATAATTTAGTATATATTGAAAATAGTATATAATATTTTTTTTAAAATAATAAAAAACTTTATTAAATATATATTAGAAAGTGATGCCCTATGGCGTAGTAGAAGTAGTAGTATTATTGACTATCTCAAGAAAGGTATATTATATAATATAAGGAGAGAAGAAGGTATATAGAGTGATCTCAATTATATAGTGAATAAATACCTAAGATATTTATCCAAGTTAAGATAATAAAAAAGATATAAATAATAAAGATACAGATTATATAATATCTAATCTCAACTTTCAATATTCCTTTATTAAATTATGCCCTTTTATATTTTATTTGCTTGATTCTTTTTCATATTTCCAATTCTAATATTTTCTGAAATCTTTCGAATACTATTTTTTTTATATAGCTTTGTTATCCTATTAATTATTATATTAGTGATATTAATATAGTTAGCAAAGACTTTTCTCTTTTCTATTAAATCTCTAATAAAGTGATAATATATATCAATATATTTGGATTTTTTATATAGATATGAATTCTTGATTAATGTTAAAACTCCTTAGTTATCTTTTAGTATTTGGACAATTTCATTATTTGTTTTGATATACTAAGTTTTCAATAAATCCTTTAATACTTGGATTAATTATCTTTTTGTCACAGGTTCACCACCCTTACCACCATTACCATTCTTACCATCCTTACCATCCTTATTACCTGTTCCTAGCTAGCTCAGATGGATGCCTTAGGTATCCACCCATCATATAGTCGGTGTTGCTCTACGCACCTCCTTCTTTCCTTATCGAATATTATACATCTTATCAGAACCTGTATCAGCCCTGTAATAATATATTTGACCCTTTAAAAGGCATTACTATCGATAACAGCCTTGCTTTAATTATACTTATTTGTATACAACAATTTTAACTTGATAATTTTGATTCTGACTTCAACTTGAATTATTACAATAATTAATATAACAAATTTATTAGTTATACTTAATAATACCAATTCTAGTACACCTGCTTCTGAAATCAAGATATATGAAACTTTGATTATATATATTCATCAAATATTCCAAGACTAATCTTATATCACTAATATACTCACTTTTTGGTACTCCTTTTTTATAACCTAATCCTACTAATCAATTTACTCAATACAAAAAGATACCGATTCCGCTATTTAGCATTTTCTTCGAAACCTGCTTGTCATATTTGAAGTTATTGCTAAAGAATATTATATTGAATATTGTTG